AGCTTATCATTTATGACTGTTACGGTATGTTTAGAGCAGTGGTTTTGCCTCAGTATCACTTGGGGATTTGGCAGAAGAGCAAATTCTAGGGCTTTCCCCCAGACCTATTGAGAGCTTCAGAAGGCCAAAGTTTGAGAACCACTGTTCTAGAACATGTGCTTTCCAGAGGTCCCAAACAGTTAATCTTCATGGCTACATGATAAGCTTTTCAGAAAGTGGAAACTCCGTTCCTACCTGGTTAGATTGGGTAGGATTTTCTTCAGGTCCACAGCCATCCTCATGTCCTGCATTTCTTTGCCCAGTATATGTACATTCTCACAATTTCTTCTGCTCCCCCTACTTCATTTCATCGCACACTACTGATTTATATTATCTCTCGAATACCTCTACCTGACATCATTTCTTAGTGTTTGGCACTAGGCCAACTGAGTTCAGATCCCAGCTCTGCTGTGTGATCTTGGGAAGGCACTAACTTGTCTGTGCCTCGGTTGCCTTATCTGAAAAATGTACGTAGTAACAGAACCCAGCCCATAGGTAAGCATTTCAGACTTTGCTACACATTGGAATTACCCAGGGTTTTTTTTTTAAAGTTGATACCTATTCCCACCCCAAATACTGTGATTGGTTTTGGGTGTGACCTAGGCATTGGAATTTTTAGCAGCTTTGCATGTGCAGCGAAGTTTGGGAATCACTGTGGTTGGCTGTTGGGAGGATGAAATGAGTCCATTCTTGCTTAGCAGAGTGCCTGGTGCGTAGTAGTAAGTGCTTCGTATACATCTGTTGGCAGAGGCGCTGATGATTTTCTGGCAGCAGGAGGAGAGATGAACCATTTCAAATGTTTGATGCATACTTGTTGATCGTCAAATGCTTGTTGGTTTAGAGATCTCCTGGTGGTCCCGTCTTTTGTTCTGAGAGTTTAGAGGTGAAATAGCCCAATGCCGTGAATCTCCACATCTAATTCTCCAAGCCCTCTCTTTGCAAGGATACAAGGGTCATGCTGTAAACAGAGCGTGTCCTCCCTCACAGCCTCACCAGCACTGGGCACCATTTTCCCACCTCTGTATGGAAAAACTTGAATTTTTGGAATATAACCAGATTCTAAAATCATGAAGTAGCAATGCTTAACAACATGGAGGGGGATTACTTAATAGTTGGGTACCATTACTATCTACATTTTTCAGATAAGGCAGCTGAAACACAGAAAGGTAAATGCCTTCCCAAGGTCACACAGCAAGCAGCAGAGTTGGGATCTGAACCCAGTTTATTTTGTACCCACTCTAATCTGTCATTTGTACCTAAATGCCAGTTTTCAAACCTGGAATAAATCTTTAGACTTGGTCTCTCTTTGGCATGAATCTATTTTCTAGGATTTAAGTGTCACTATATCCTAAATTATGTATTTCTAACCATTACGTGAAAGGATGTATAATCTTTTTGCTTGCCCTGTCTTGTCACATACATTAGATCAACCTTCATTCATTGTTTTATTAATTCGACAACTATTGATGAGCAGCTGCTTTGCACCAAACAGCCAAGCTAGCAAGTTTATTCCTTCTTTTCCTCCTGTGGAGGGACAAACCTGTCTCTCTGTCAGCATGTGTAAGTATTTTGGTTTTGATTTGTAACTACAGCCTTTTCTATACTTGTCTTCTTTGGTGACATAATCCCTCAACTTTTAATAATGGAACATCTGAAGGGCATTTTTCCTGTTGATTTCATGGGCCTTCCTTGAACCCTGCTGAGATTAATTACGCCAAACCCCATGCAACAATTATTCTAATATATCCTGGCGAGTTATTAAAATGTAGGTTGCCCGGGACCAGGAGGCTTGAGTAAGTGAGCCACAGTTAGTACCCTCAGAATGAAATCGGTGATGCAGTTTAGGTTCTGTGGGTTTGTCTTATCTTTTAGTCTAGAATCAGTCCCAGTAGTGTGGCCAAACTAAATGAAGCAATGAGAAATAGGTGAATTCATATGTCAGATTTCTGATTTGTTCTCTTTCTTGAAAAAGTTAGATTATGTGCTTGGTTTCGCTTTCTGTGTAGGGCGTGCAAGTAATTGGTGTTTACTGTGAGATTGGCCCTGGGACGTTTAAGTGTGTGCTGCAAATGGAAATAATTGATTCACTATATTTGTTCTGCTGCCCGATTACTAAGTGAAAATCTACCACTGGGGAAACTTTTGTGTAGCCAGCACACAAGTGGCTCAGTATTATGGTAAAGACTAGCCTCCATTGTGTGGTCTTACCATTATCACTCCAGTTACTCACAGACTGAATAGGCTTTAGAAATACAGGTCTTCAGAGGACTTGTCCTTGCTTAAATGTTCCGTGGATCCTTCTGAAATAACATCCCCCAAACCTTAACTGAAAACAGTAAAGAAGGCGGGGATATATTAATATCTCCAGTTTTAGTTATATTCAAAAGGATTATATATTTAAAATGAGAACAGTTCAAAGTACATTTAGGTTTTAAACATTTGAGGTTAACAATCCAAAATAAGCTAGGAAAAATAAGTAAAATATTCTCTAAAATGGTATGTTTTAAAATCTGCTAGACCTGTTTTCCCTACCTTTGACTTTTCTGAAACAAATCTAAACTCCCCAGCGATTGCTTGGCTCATCTTACCGATGAGCCTACTTGTTTTACCAAATCCAGTTCAGCTCTAGCATTAGACGTCTCTCTCTGTGTCCTTAGGCCACTTTTCCAGAACTATTGTGTCCTATACTTCCTAGAAAAGGATTGGGTACTTTATGTGCCAGCTTTGGTTCCTGGCCATGATCTGTGGTGTGCCTGTGCGCATGTCTGTCCGTGTGTGTGTGTGTGTGAGTGTGTGTGTGTGTGTGAGTGTGTGTGTGTGAGTGTGTGTGAAGGGGGGCTGTATATGCTGGAGCCAAAATGACGTACTCTGTTGTACAGTGTGACATGGAGTGAGCTCCTAATTACATAAAAGTTCCCTTCTAAGTTGAGTCTTAGACTCCTGGCCTCACTAAGTAAATGAATCTGTGGAATTCTGAATAAGGAAAGTGGCAGCTTCTCTTGAACACTTAGTTTTTTAATGACAAGTCATGGCAAGGTGTGGGTAAGAAGAGTGATTTATAAACTTGCGGCTTGTGGGGTCAGGCTGACTGGGTTATATTCATACCTTCAACTGCTGTCCTTGCCACCCGGCATCGGTATAATCATTTCTGTTCCGTGTTGAGCCATCTGGAAGCAGACACTTGTCTCCAGGCTCAGCTCTTGAAATGCCATGCACCTGGCAGAGTGTCCTGTGCTTCTGCACTGTCAGGATGGCTTCTGGATAATGATGATGCTCTGCTCCTTGAGACGTAGGGACCATTCGTTCATAAACGCAGCTGCAGTTCGGGCCAGGGTGAGGCACTGTGCTGAGCGCACACTTACAAGGTCGAGTCTGTTGTAACTCTGGCCGAGCTTAGCCCTCCTGCCCCCTGCCAGTCTCACCCTTTCTCATTAGATCTCACTCTTGGATGGGAGGAGAGTGATGAAGGTTAACTTCCTCTAGGCTTTTCTTTCTGGGCTAGAATCTTCTTCCAGGGCAGTGGGGCTCAGGAGAAGTGACAGAGTATATTTATGCTTTCTTCTGCCTGTTAGTGGTTCTGCTGGAAGATCATCTGTGCTTCTCCTAACTCCACTCAAAATTAGGAAAAATACCCAGGGCTCTGAGAATGGTCTGCTTTCCTTCTAACATAGAAGAAACTTGGAGGAGGAAGCAAGAACTGTTTCTGCTTTTCCTAATCTTTATTTCTAATCTGACCCCTCATCCGAGAGGCTCACCCTGAAAGGGTGCTGACCCAGAAGCCTTCAAGTGGTTCATAGAGGCGAGAATGATCTAGCATTACAAGGTCAGTGCTTACAGGTGGATAGGTCAGAGCATATAAAATTGCCACCACTGCCTAAATATGTCTTGATTTGGTAGCATGGTTAACTTACATTTTCATTCTAGCACATCTGAAGGGAGTTTATCGCATTGACTTCCTGGGGGCTGTTTTCAAGCCTGCTGAGATTAATTAAATCAAACCCCATGTGACAATTATTCTAAAGCAAAGTGGTTTATTAAATTTTGGAGCATGCTGGACTACTGAATTGAAATTATTCAAGAAGATGATTACAGTTTTGTTGATTTCATGCTATAGGAGTTTAATACCCTTTTTTTCTATTTTTATGGGCAGATACTGCCAATCTCTTAGTTTTTCTTTCCTGCTGGGATGAAGAATCTCTAAAGGATGAAGGAAATGGCCTATTGTCAGTAGGACAGTGCTGTTTTCTTGGCTTTCCTGGAAAGGGATCTCTGTAGAGGCCAGGTCTTACTCTCTACACAGTGCAGGTTGGGGATTTTAAAGAACCCTTTGTGTCACTTGGAACACTTTTCTTCTGAGATGAAGATAGTGGGTATCTGTGCAGATCAGTCTGGGATAAAGAACGTTGTGAAAGGAGACCTGGCTCAGCAGGAGGGTTCCCAGTCCCTCGTCATACTGAGCTGGGACAGCCACCTTCTCTGTGTATGTCCAGGTCACCTGGGAAGACCTGGGAAGCACTTTAGTCGTTAGTGAGAGAAGATTTAAAAAACCCACAGAACTCTTGAAATCATGTGTTTTTGTCACTGTTTCTTCCAAACGGAAGAGTATTCTTTTATATGATTGTTTAAAGAGAACTGGATGCCCCAGCGACCAGTTATGACACATGCCTGGTTACAAATCTTCCTCTGCCATTGTCTAAACTCATCACTGCAGGACTCAGAAAGAATAAGCTTGGAATGCACTTCTCATGGATTATTAGTTGGATAAGAGGCCCCCACTGGGAGAATCCTATAGCTGTCTCCTCAGATGAGTGAGAAATTCAGAATTGTGGCAGGACCACCCACTCACTAACTGCTCACTTGGAGACCTGGGTGGTTTCAGATTCCCAGGAAAGCGACTGTTGTGTCACCTGAGGGCAAAGGGACTTGGGAAGCATTGCCCATTGGCTGCCTTATGTTTTCAGGGTTGCCGTTTGGCAAGAGGGGAAGGAAGATGATGAAGTAGTGATCCTCATCTCAGAACCCACAGGGCAGATCTGATGGCATCGGCTGCTTTCATGTGGAGGACAGAGCAAGGAGAATCGGTGCTGGGAAGACTGTCTCTCACTGATGTGTCTCATGTATGGCGTTATGACTACAATGCCCCTTGCTTCTCGCACAGTGTGATGCAGGTAATAGTGGACATGTCTCAAGGGTTAGGTGAATGGTTTCAAAGGAAGTGGGATAGAGAGAGCTGATAATTACCGATGGCCTAACAGGCAGGTGGCCACACCTGCTTGCGGGTGCATGACTGGGTAATCTATGTTGGAATTCATACAGACTTCTGGTATTGGTCCGAGGCTCTCCTGCTGAACCTGTCTGCATCCATTGTGGTGATATTCAGCAAAAAGGCATACCCAAATCCCAGTGATTGGTTATGTGGATGATAATGGTACATAAGTTGTTTTCATTAACTAGAGTGAGGTTGGTAAAAGTGGACATCTGACAGAGAAGAGGCAGGAGTTTGCTGAAGAAGGGAGTGGGGATCTGAGAGTTAAGGCAATATATATTGTATTTGTGAAGAGTTTTAAATTCTTGTTTATTAATTTTTTAATTGAACTTTTCATTTTGAGATAATTGTAGATATACATGTATAATTGTATGTAGATATACATGTAGATATACATATACATATATAAATGTAGTACAATGATATTTACATGATACAGTACAACATCACAACTGACTGTATCTGATACAGTCAAGATACAGACATTTCCCATCACCCTCAGGATCCCTCATGTTATCCTTTTATGGCCACACCCACTTCCCTCCTGTCCCCACTCCTTTCTTTCCCTCTAGCAACCACTAATTTGTTCTCCATATAATTTTGTCATTTAAAAAATGTTATAAAATTGGAACATAGTATATTTGGGATTGCTTTTCTCACTCAGCATAATTTTCTGAAGATACTAGTCCTTTAGACATGTGGTTTACAAATATGCTCTCTCACCAGTTTTCCCTTTTAGCTCTTAACCAGGTTCTTTGCAGAATAGAAGTTTTTAAATTTGACGAGGTCCAATTTATTGATTTGTTTTCTTTTTTATGTATTCATTTCATGCTATAAATTTCCCTCAGAGCACTGCTTTAGGTGTATCCTACAATGATGTGTTTCATTTTCATTTTCATTCAGTATTTTTTAGAATTTTGCTTTGACTTCTTTTTTGACCTGTGGATTATTTACATGCATATTGCTTACTTTCCAAATATTTGGAGATTTTCCTGTTATCTTTCTCTTACTGATTTCTACTTTATTCCATTTTGGTTGGAGAATATATTCTATATGATTTCAGTTTTTAAAATCTTTTTGTGGATTGTTTTATAGCCCTGGATATTGTCTGTCTTCATATATGTTCCACACACTCTTGAACAGAATATATATTCTGCTGTTGTAGGATGGAGTGTGCTATACATGTCTCATCCTGTTGGTTGTTGCTGATACTCCTGAAATGGAGTGTTGTAGTGATGTTGGTAGTAGCTGTTTTTTGTTCTTGTTTTCCTTTTCTTTTTTCTGGTAATGGAAGGGGAATGAGGATTAGATAGCAGAGAATTTGAAGTCATATTGTCCAGCAAAAATAAGGAGATCAAAAGTCTATTTGCCAGTTTAAGGTAACTTTGACAACCATCCAAGGAGAGAGTAGAGTTTATATTCTCCACTGAAAATATAAGTGCTAGAGGGCCATTTCATCAAACCATTGTTTTAGAATTAGAAAGTCTGAAGAAAACCAAGCTTGATCTGAAAATCAGAGGTCAGACAGCTAAAGTTGCCAACCAGGACTGGAAGAAAAGGATATGTTTTAAGTTTGTTTGGATTACTTCTTGTTGAATAGTATTTATGAGTTAACTAACTTATTGTTTACTAAGTACTTACTTAATCATTAATTAGATCCAGAGCAGAGAAGTTGCTTATTAATGTAAAAGCTAGACTAATTTATTCTACAACATTTGTTGTGTAACTCCTCTATTCCTGACGGAGTACTAGTTCCTGAGGATATAAAAATAAACTAGAGCGACATGGACTTAAGTATCCTTTTTTCTCCCACAGAAGGAAAACCTAGAAATCCAATGGCTAAGACTGACTTCTAGGAAATATAAGAATAAGTTGAACCTTGAGGATTATTTTAGTTTCACATGCTACAACTTAAATTTGAAAAATAATACTAAAAATGCTTTGCAGAAGTATGTTTTATTACATGGTTACCTAGTGGCTTTCAATTAAAGCCTGGTATTTCTTGCATGTCTCCTGTGTGCCAGGCACTGAAATGGGTGCAGAGGGTCTGGGTTTGCTTCAGCCCCTTATCTTAAGCCTGGTATAAAGATAGAGGCCAGATATAAATTTCTTGAACTTATATATGTGTTTTATTTCTTAAGAAAGAGAAGCTTCCTGGTATAATGGAAAATTTTATTTACATTTTTTTTTTAAGAACACAACTTTATAAAGAACGTCTATGTAAGTGTTGAACTTAAATGTAAACAGATCTAGTATCGGTATCAATACTGAAGTGACTTCTCCTCGTTTTGTAAACACATCTGTTAGTTTAACCTGTTCAACCAGGTACAATAACAGAAGGGCAACAAAGACCTTGGTCTATTACTTTTCATGTAACACCACAGAAAGTGAGAAAATACAGCTAAATTTATCGTAGTCTTTCCTTTCTTTTTCCCCATGACATCATAGTTTCCCTTTAATATCTGTTTTTCAGTTCATGAAAACATGTTATTTTCCCAGACAACCAGTTGCTTTGATTAATGGGGCCAGGTCAGTCCAAGGACAGATTAAACACACAGGAACCTGGCATGATTCCTAGAAATGATCCTCAATCTTCCTTCTCTCACCTTGGGGCTCTTTAATTACTGTGTTTTCTGTGAAAATAGAGTCTGGTAATTTTCTAAAGAAGCTCCATATATCAGAATAAATGATATATGTTTGGTTGATAAGCTATTGTTAACAAATAACAAGCTCATGCTTCATTTTGTATCATTTTATTAACGAGTCTCCTCCTTTCTTCCTTATATAAAAAGAAGGTGAAAGTGGTACTGTCTATTCAACTTTATTATTCCTTAGTTAATCAAAGCATGGTGGTCATAAACCTTACTTCCCTGATTCACCATTTAACTGTTACATTAAGTTCTTAGATATTTAGAAGAAAGTGGTCAGATACTTTCATAATAATTAAGGCATGTATCAGTTAGTGTGGCTGATATGGTTTGCCTTCTGTAAATCATGTAACTTCTTTGAGCCTTATTGTTTCCCTTTCTATAAAACGGGTCTGGCTAATAATAAGTGATCCCAGCTATTTATTATACCTATTTTCATTATAACATGCTCGTCTGTGAGCTCCAGAAGACTGATAGCTGTGGCTGACTTATCTCTGTATCTCTAGTCTGTGACAGCCCAGATACTGCAAATGTTTATGCCATTTGGGGCCGGGCAGGTAACAGAGGAGCTATGCAGTCTCACATGGAGACTCCGTAGGTTCCACTGATAGGGGCCACAGGGAACGTGGCCCAGTGTTAGCAAACCCTCCTATTTTCCAAGAGAATCCAGAAATCTGCATTTTAAGTGAAACCTCCCTATTCTTAAATATTGCAAATTAATCTGGGTTTTAAAAAATCCCTTGTGTAGGCCAAACAAGGCATGGGCAATAGAAAATTCAACCCAAAGCCAATGCTTTGCCACCTGAGCATGCTCTTAAAAATGTTCATTGAATTAATCGCAATGAACCATAATGTTCATTGAATTATTGAGCTCCTTTATGTTATGGCTGCCATGAATAGAGATTGTTTTGATACTTCTGAGGAACATACATCTTTCTTCTTATGGTAAGAGCTTTTTTTACTAGACAATTATGACGTTACTTATACAGAATTATTAAAAGTGCTACTAACAACAAGTACCATAAATGAGCTTACTATGTGCCATGCATTGCTAAGAAGGTATTATTATCCATATAAAAATATGCACAAATTAAAGATCAGAAAGTTTAAATAATGACCCAAGCAGATACATTCTGCCTGATGGCTGAACTGAGATTATAACCCGGCAGTTCATACTGTACCATTCCTGTGTGTTAGCACCTTTTGTCCAGATTAAGAATGAGTTGACACAGCAAAGCAACTAGCCTTATTTTTTTTTTAAACAGCTTTATGGAAATAGACATACCATATAGTTCATTCATTTAAAGTGTAGAATTGAGTTGTTTTTAGTATAGTCATAGAGTCATGCCAATCATCACCACTGTCAATTTTAGAATATTTTCATCACCCCAGAAGGGAACCCTGTACCTATTTAGTAGTCACTCCCCATTCCCCCCCAAACCCCCAGGCACAGGCAATGATTCATCTACGTTCTGTCACTATAGATTTGCCTTTTTGAGACATTTCGTATACAAGGAATCATGCACTATGTGGCCTTTTTTGTTGGCTTTTTTCACTCAGCATGGCATTTCAAGGTTTGAGCATGTATCAGTCCTTCATTTCTCTTGAGTAGTAAATAACATCCCATTGCATGTGTATATCACATTGCATTTGTTCACCAGTTTATGGCCATTTGGGTTGTTTATACTTCCTGGCTGTTATGGATAGTGCTGCTATGAACATTTGTGTCCATGTGTTCCTGTAGACATATGTTTTTTTTTTTTCCCCTGGGTGAAACTGACATTGCTTGGATACATGGTAACTCTATGTTTGACCTTCTGAGGAACTGTCAGACTGTTTCACAAGAGACTGCGCCATTTTAAGTTCCTACCAGCGGTATGTGAGGATTCCAACTTCTCCACTTCCTCACCAACACTTGTGTGTATTTTTAAAAATTGTGATAAAATTCATGTATCAAAATTTTCCATCTTAGGGGCGCCTGGGTGGCTCAGCTTGGGTCATGATCCCGGGGTTCTGGGTTTGAGCCCCGCATCGGGCTCCCTGCTTGGTGGGGAGTCTGCCTCTCCCTCTGCCTGCAACTCCCCCTGTTTGTGCTCTCTCTCTCTCTGTCAAATAAATAAATAAAATCTTAAAAAAAAAAGAATCAAAATTTTCCATCTTAGCCATTTTAAAGTGTACAGTTCAGTAGCAGTAAGTACATTCACATTGTTGTACAACCATCACCACCATCCATCCCCATACGGGTTTCATCTTG